CACCCTCAATTGACTTGAAATTAGCGCTCCAATCTGCTAACCTAACCAGACTCTGAAGTGTCGTTGACTTAGGCCTGAGGTACTCTAGTGACTTAACATTCTCTGAGCAAGTGGCATCACAGACCCGAAAGTCGAGGATGCTCTTAAGGTTACAATAGAGTGAATTCAAACGCTTGCCATATAAATTGTTTTATCCCAATGACCATCCCGACCAAAACCCACTTATTTCTAAAACGCATCAGTCATTAGAACACTAAAACGCTCGGACTCACTGATACACATTATGACACTAAATAAACTCTAAAACTTGGCATAAATACGTAAAAACACAACTACAATATAGGTAAATGTTTACTATGGTGTAATATACAATCGACATAAACATTTATAAGTGCATGTAACATTAATGCCGTTTTCATGTTCACATACTTTCTCTTTCTGGTACTCTGCCGCTGCGCATAATCTTCCATTTATCTTCTGGTCGAGGTCGAACAACCCTGCATCTAAACTGAAATGAAGATAGATTCCAAACCACTTAACTCACAACCGCTCAAATTCCATGAACGATCCGATTCTACCATTTGAAGACGCTGGGGAACATGCTGTAAATGAGTATTCATGATCTGAAATAAAGAAGCACCTGGTTTTCAAACAGTTTTCAACATTTTACCCAACTTACGAGTACAGTCCGCCATGCAGACCTAAAATGGAGCAAATGGAGAATTCTGGAATCGACCTCGGCAACATTTGATGCAGTAAAACAACTTCGCATGACCTCATCTAGTTTTTGCATCCACGATCAAATTCCTTTCCTGTTATAAGACTACGACAAGACTGCTGAAAAATGGAATAGGTATATCACTGATCTCAACATAATACATCAATAAACTTTAAGCCAATGGTGCTGTTCACAACAAAGTTATATAGGAGAATTGACTTCAAGCTTTTTTCCCAGATATTCGTATTACATTCATCTGATATCTGGGTTTTTGTTAATGCGAAGACAATATTTCTATACCTCTTTATGTGTTACACAAACAGACTTTATAGAAGACTATTCCGACTGACTCTAATGTCAGAAAGAATAACCAAACTGTAAATTCATCATACATGAAATTATGTGTAATTTATATAATAACTTATCCGTACCTGTACAATTGGTATGTTCCTGCATAAACAGGAAGAAATATATATTATTATTAACTGGTCTTCTAGAGAGTCATTCTTACTGAATGTTAAGTACAGACTCCAAGAACTAAGATACAGTGTCGACGTCCCCTTCCGCTTACTTGTATCACTTTTCAGAACTACAGCTATGCTCTACAGCAATGCGTGGTAGTGCGTTAGCGCATGGAATGCGATCTCTGGGTATTTCCCCTTTCTTCCTCTTGGAGTCTGGCATTCTACACTTTGCTAAATTTTTGTGTTCAGATAATCCGACTGATCCCAACCTACTAATTAAGTTGAACTCACATTCACTGCAAGATATTCTGTGTACTTCGTGTAGTCGAGTCGTTTGGACGCTTTCGTTCACAAAGCTTGCCCCTGAGTGAGTTTGTTGGCTTAAATACCCCCCGGACCTCTGTTTTATGAGGGATCCCACGTAGGGTTTCTGATGTTCACCCCTTATATGGTAAAATAGTGGATGTCTTCTTTCTTATTGTCATAATCAATGGTTTCACCACTACTTTCTTTCATTATTTTGAGTTTCTATATCCCTAATGAACTGTATGGGGTGACTGTGTAGTACCAACTCCCCTTCTGTCCACTCTATTTCATTTCTTGGTGTTTCTGACGCACTACTCATAGGTTTTGCTCAGTTCGTTAAACATTTAAATTAAAGTCTAGATATCTATCCGAGTGCCCCAACGTTTTATAAATTCTTACACGTGGTGCTACTTTTTCTGCTCAATAAAATTTACAGCCTGATCCAGTTAATCCTTCTTGCTCACTTTCTGGTTCAAATGTAAATTTAATTCCCTCCACAAATGAGTTTGTCGTTGGATGGTTGGAGACTATCGAAAGAATACCTTGGACCAATTTTTCGTGCCTGATGGTGCTCGTCAGCAAGACGCACCTGCAATCTTGGAGGAATTTATGTCCCTTCTGGGATTCGAACCCGAGCTGCCCAGTTCAGAAGCCAGAGATGTTACCACTAGGTTATCCGAGCTCATAACTGACCTTCTGTGAGACTTTAATCGACACGTTGGTTGAGTACTATGTAGTAACTAATGTCCAGCGTCTAATCCGTTGTTTGTTGCACTATGATGGCGAATCGCCAAGCGTAGTGTCCACATCATAAACTTGACTAGGGGTTCAGTCTGCACCAAACGAAGACACATGACATTAGCTACTGCCTTGTTTTAACGCTGTGAAAGTATCGTCCACATTTCCACCACACTCTGAATCGAATTAAGTTCTTTAGGATTCATGTGTTTCCGATTAACCATGAAGATATCTGCTACAATTAGGGATATTGATGATCTTACTACTAACCCTTCTGTTGGTCTTTATATTTCTCCTCGCATTTCAAAGACAGTAAAGTGAAACATGATTGAATCTCTACAAAAATTTCCTGATTGGAGGGCATGTCCTGCGAATAAGTTCGGCATCATTTAGTTTTTTTCTAGCTAGTTTCAAAGCCATGTGGATTGGTATATTATTATGAACATCGTCGACAATCAATGCAATCATCGAGTTTACATCAAAAACTGTCCTTTACAGGATTTCATCATGAGCTGACATTAGTTAAAGAACCACTGGAAAATCTGGGAGTACTGGACAGCTGTTTCGTCCTAGTTTGGGACTCTTCATCAGAACGTGTCCACCGGGGTTCGAAAACAGGACCTTCTGGTTAGCTATTTTGCAGGCGTTGACTAATAGGTAGCGTAGGGATGCTTAAACTGTGAGACGACCGCTGACAGTCTGGCACAGAAATTTCAATAGGAAATACGAGCATCTAAGTAAGATGGTGAATGACGGTAATACATATCCTGTTGAATTGCTAGGTGAACACCTTTGGACTCTTCCTCGTGGACGCACTGCATACATTCGACGTATTCAGGTTGGAGGGATTCATAGTAACTTTTCATCAACTAATACCGTAGGCCCCAAAGCTCACAAGTTAGAAAAGTCCAGACATATCTCTGAGAGATAGGTCAATAGAACCAATATTCTTAGAGGAGTCTTTGCAGGGGTGAGGCTGATATAGGGCTTCTTTAACACAGCAATAAATAGCCACTCAGGTGTTGTATGTGATTAAGGGACTCAAAATGGTGGAACACGCAACCAAGTAGCATTTACGCCTTCTGTTTGGTTTGCAGGTTTCCTTTTATCTATTCAATGATGATGTTTCTTCGTTTTTTACTAGGTATTTCCCGGTTTCAATTGCCTCCTCCAGTGTTTTCGGGGATAAAGGTTCACAAACACCATTGGTCTTTTCGGATATAACTGGTCGTCAATCGGTAGTCTGAGTAATCGTTTTGATAGAAAAGTCTTAAGATATTTTTCAAGTACTGGTCTGTGGGGATTTTGCTGATTGGTTACAGGATTTCATCGTGAGCTGACATGGGTTAGAGAACCACTGGAAAACCTGAAAGTACTGGATAGTTGTTTCGTCCTAGTTTGGGACTCTTCATCAGAACGCACTCACCGGGGTTTGAATCCGGTGGTTAGCTGCTTTTTCTTTAGATGCAAAAGGCGCTGAACATAAAGAGGGAGAATCACGAGGACTGTAGAATGAGCATCTGTAGAATATGTGTGCAACGACTTACTTAAAATAGACGGATTACACGAGGTGAATTGCTGCGAACGCACCCCTTTAAACACTTGTTAGTGGCCCAGTCACCAGGTTCCAAAAGCTGCCTGGTACTGTCTTAATGTCCCCAATTCCACAGGGATATCGTGACCGGGTTGTAATGGAACTACCTTAAATTATTATATTGCATATTAATCATGGTTCAAAAAGTTAGTGTTGACAATTACTGTTTGAGTGCACTCAGTAAGCCGAGCCAGCATTAGTGTATCAAGGTGTCTACTTGGCCACACAAAGTTTGTATTTAAATAATACAAATTAACACCACAATTGAATGTGTGATCAGTAATAAATTATGACAGATTAATAACACAGTGGGCACCTGTATTATGAAGTGAAATTCTCACACTCTTCACTGCTGGCATTTTCTGCATGGTGTAGCTGCTTCTCCGAATTCATATCTCGTTACTTAGGGAATCAGTCACTTAGGCTGCTTTAACGACTTAGAGTTTGTTTCCGATTGCCTTCAACTAGAAATAACGCTCATGATTATTGTAGCCATTTACCGTGTAGACGTGTGCTTTGGCCGTACTGACCGCTCACTATTTAGCATAACCCGCAGGGTAGAAAGGGAGAATAAAACACTTACTGCTTATCAAAGGTGCATTTATTAATGATTATATGAAGTGAATTTGGAGATATGTAATCACACTACAACACAATGGTCAAGCTCTTATCCCCTGAAAATCTAGTTGTCCACGACATGCTTTATTCCTCAAAGGTAAGCAAACTGATCGTTGGAGGTGAGACAGCTCAAGTTGAGTTCATTCAACTAGCTTCTCTGATACTCTATAGCTGCATATTCTGGCACCTGGTTTGAAACAATGAAGGCAGAGATTTAGGATTGACTTATGCATGTCGAGTGCCTTTACAGGGATAGATAAGTGGTCTGTGACATTCGGATGACTAGCATCCTTAACACCAAAGTAGGAAGTACAGATATATCGCAGTAATGCAGCATAAATATCATTTTCGAATGAATAACTATTGTTATTTCAAATTTGGAGCCAAATTACAAATTTAAACGATTCTATACTTATCAGTCAAAAAATATGGTCAAGTGCGAAAAGTTTCGATAAAATTTTGATTTATCATTTGGATACCTTATATAAATACCTTAGGTCAAAATATACTTGTAAGCGTAACCAAACACTATAGCGGGTCACCTGATTTACTACCGTACACAATGGCTGCTATTGTAAGTGACTTAGCACTATTTTGCTGGCTTCAAACACACATATGATTTATCTAATCACTTTGTCTTCACTTTAGGAAGTTGAATCTTATCCTCGTCGGTCACCAAAGTATTTGTCTGGTGAACCGTCTAGGAAAGTTAAACGGGAATCAGACAAAGGAATACTAGAACTTCTTCCAACACCCACTGATGGAATAAAAAACTATTATATGAACAAGATTGATGAGCACCAGTTTATTTACACCGAAAAGGTACTGAATCTTCGAAGATTAGAGGCTCAGCGAAATGAGTTGAATGCCAAAGGTAAGTATTTAACTATGTCTTTTCAATTCTTCAGTTCGAATGCTTCGGGAAGAGCTGCAACTGTTGCAAGAACAGGGTTCATTTGTTGGAGAAGTCATTAAAGCAATGGACAAGAAGAAAGTTCTTGTGAAGGTTCAGCCTGAGGGGAAATATGTTGTAGATATTGACAAAAATATTGAAATGTCTCAGATATCACCGAATTGTCGGGTCGCTTTACGTAGTGACAGTTACACGTTGCACAAGATTCTGCCCAGCAAGGTGGACCCTCTAGTCTCACTAATGATGGTAGAAAAGGTCCCAGACTCCACCTATGAAATGATTGGTGGTTTAGACAAGCAAATTAAAGAAATAAAAGAAGTTATTGAACTACCTGTGAAACACCCTGAGCTTTTCGATGCTCTGGGAATAGCACAGCCTAAAGGTGTTTTGTTATACGGACCTCCTGGTACAGGCAAGACTTTGTTGGCGCGTGCTGTTGCTCATCATACAGAATGTACATTCATTCGTGTCAGGTAATGATAATTTACCAAACTTATCTTGTAGTGGTTCCGAACTCGTCCAGAAATTCATTGGTGAAGGAGCGAGAATGGTTCGCGAGTTATTCGTCATGGCACGAGAACATGCACCCTCTATTATTTTCATGGACGAAGTTGACTCAATTGGATCTACCAGATTAGAAAGTGGCACAGGTGGTGACAGTGAAGTTCAGCGTACTATGTTGGAGCTTCTCAATCAGTTAGATGGATTTGAACCAAAACAGAACATTAAGGTAATGTTGCAATATTACCTGTAATATTCCAGGTTATCATGGCCACCAATCGTATTGATATACTTGATTCAGCGCTCCTGAGGCCTGGAAGAATTGATAGAAAAATCGAATTTCCTGCTCCAAATGAGGAGGCTCGATTAGACATCCTAAAAATACATTCTCGGAAGATGAACCTAACAAGAGACATTGATTTACGTAAACTAGCAGAATCAATGCCTGGTGCTAGTGGTGCAGAAGTTAAAGGAGTTTGTACAGAAGCCGGAATGTATGCTTTACGAGAACGCCGAGTTCATGTTACTCAAGAAGACTTCGAGTTGGCTGTTGCTAAGGTAACCTAATATTTTAGTTTCTCTTAGTTTAACATTTTAATTTGAAAGTTAATTTTATTAGTATCTGTATATAGTAAATCCTCAACGAAGATAGATCACAGATCTAAATTTATCGTTAATGGACACAATCAAGTTTTTGTGCTGTCATTTCCTATGGAGTCATATCTCACCTTTGTTTATTTCGGGCATCACAAATGTAAATGAGATCTTTTCACTAAACCATCAAAACAAACCTATTGCCGTAAATTTGAGTCACCAGACATTTTAAGATACACTTCATTTTTCCCAATTCTATATCTGTTACATAACTTTTGTATCGTCTAAAATATCTTGCCTGATAGGTCGCATGTCTTATTTTGTCATTAGTATATGTAGAGCAATATTGGTAATATTGGTGCTAGGCGTGATACTATGTATGCAGGGATAGTTGGTCAACGGGTCTGTAAAGTTCCACCAATCGGTAGGTGACTAGGATGTTTAGCACATGCTAAGACTCCACCCTCGACAAGTAGTGTTAGCTTAAATAACTCTGTGTTGGATGTTAGTTGAGCGTGGCCTGTCGGAAAAGTAGAACTAACCTCTGAAGTTCTGGACCTTCGGTTCAAAATACACAGAGAAATGTAGACTACATGGTTGGACTCCTTGAGATGCTAGAAAAAAATGGTTGGATTGTTGATGATATGGTCGGGAACACGATTGGTGCAAATATACTCACTCCGTGTTCTCTAGATTCGTAAAATCCTTACTAATATGAGTCTAATTATCCCCTTTCCTGTGTAAGATAACTAGGGTAAGTCAGTTGAAATGATTGTGAAGTTACATCGATTGAAATGGCTAGGATGCCTGTTGTTCATACCAAGCCGTCGCCTTCCCCGAAAGGTAATGTTAGCCGACATCGGATTAGGTTAGAAAAAGGTTAGTGGTAGTCAAAGCTAAGTCTGGCACAAATCCATGAAGTCTTTGACAGTCAGTTTGAGCCACGCAAGCAGTTGTATACTACTTGGTTGGGGTTCTCGGGATTCTAAGATCCAATGGCCGGAGACTATCGGTTATGTGACTCAAATCGTTCTTTATGGTGCAGATGCATCTACCCAGTGATCTCCCGTATCCACTAATAAACCATCGTGATTCCTCATGTTCGTAGTCTGTCTCCTACACATTTCTGCTCATTGTCGTCCTTTCAAATCTCTTTTTTTCTTTTGCCTACATTTGTGTGGTGCATGAAGTCTGGTAACTTGGACTGCTGCTGCACTTTTATGCAAAGTTGTGTATTGAAACTCAATCGGTCAGTGTCTCCATTCACTATAGTTCCACTACATTTGTTTTCCCGACTCTCACCACGCAGTTTATTTACTAAAGGCATGAAATGATTATTATAACCTCTGTAGGTGGCGGGGAGCTCTAACTCATGCATGGAACTTCATATGATTCTGTCACAGATTATGACATGATGTCAGGCTACCAAACCTTTGGTTGTCAATCTTGACTATCTTAGTGAACAGGCTGATTGTTGTAAACGCTTAATACTGCGAAAATCAATAATGGGATACCGGATTATGTGATTTTAAATCAGTCACAGTGTTCGCTTACTGTTAATTAAACCTAAAGTTTACTAGCCATTGTTTCCCTCCTTGCATTCCTATATCTGGCCAGTGTGTTAGTTTCATCATATTTGTGCACTTGTGGAATTGAAAAGTCTCAGTGATTATTGTTGGCTTCTAGGGGTTTATAGTAATCCCACTTTATATGAAAATTAGATTATATTTCTTCCCTAAAGTGTTTGGCTGCACTTTATCTTACATAGAATATTTGTTATTACGAACCCGCAAGTACCAACGTATCAGTGAATGATAGTCTAAGCTGTGAAACCTATTTGCACGTGAGAGGAAGTGTCCACTGTTTTGTAAGGAGTCAGGTAAAGTACGTAGTATATTGCAGCAATCAAGATAAAGTTAGAGCATAAATGGTTGTGTAACACTTCACCAATGTTTCGTTATCTTGCTCAAAGCCTGTTTCCTATAACCATATGGACTTCAACCAGATGACTTACACTTCTCATCATAATTGAAAATAACAGTCAGCAACTTCATGGTTTGCTCTTGCCATAGTTCACTACTTATGCTAAGATAAAAATTCGGATTTGGCGTGTAATAGTAAAAATGACCAAATCAGACTCTCTAAGTTTATAATTTCCTCAAAAAGCATTGAATCGTTTCATTGAACGCTCTACATCCGAATTCGTCATTGCTCGTTCAGTGACACCATCTAGTGTGTATGTTATTTTACAAGTGCACTGGTTGTTGAATGCCTAGGATCACAAATTCCTTATGTACTACAATCACACCATCTCCACCACAGTTTAAAGCGAATTGCATTGTGCTAAGTTCGCAAAGCACTTCGCCAACTGAACGGAACAGTTCCTATTGAAACTATGAAAGTTTTCCCTTAACTGATAAACAACACTAAGTGTTCCACGCAAAAGAAAACCTAAACATTAGCTGATAGTAGTAGTCCGATTAATAAACTCATCTACGTGAAAAGATGATAATAGAAGAGATTTATTTTTAATTGTGGATCTTTGGCTAAATCTCAAAACTACCTGATGAAATTCTGTAATAATTTGTTTACTAGATATATCACATTATTATTATTGTTCCCTTGGGTTTCTAGTAGAACATAGGGCTTCAACTGCACGTCTCCACTTGTCACTTCTGCTGTACTTTTCACCGGCATCCATCCATGTTAATCCATACTGTTTCAACTCCTCGTCACACGATCTCCTCCATGTCACTCACCCTTGCACTGACGTCCCACTCGCCGCGTGCTTCCCTTTCGGCCTGGTTCCACTCGAGCAATGATCTGACGCGCACACAATGTCACCCAGTGGCCTCCTCAGCGAGTGTCCAATCCATCCATCTCCACTTTCTCCTGCGTATTTGTTGGCTGGCGATTGGTTCTTGTTTTGTTTGTTCCCAGCCATAGTTTCTTGTTGGTGATTCTTTCCGGCCCGGCCATCTCATCTTCAGTATAGATCCGGCGAAGGCAGTTGTTGGTTGATAAAGGTCTGCATCGCAACAGGCTGTTGGAAATATTGTTTGTGACCCGCTCGCCAAGTTTCTGATCCGTATAGAAGAGCTGACTGACTTGACGTTTGTATTGAAAATCCGACCGAACTTTGTTGTTGATGCTGAGTAACAAAGATTTCCAGATTGATTTCAGGTTGATGAATGTGTTTCTCGCCTTCCCGATTCTCGCTCGATTTGACATCCTCGTCCGTTCCGACTGCCTGTAGTTGAGACAATGCTCCCTAGATCAGTGAGTGAATGAAGTGACCTCTTTCAAATCCCTCGCGCTGATAGTGATTGGCGCTAGATGTTCCTGCTGTTGTTGTTGTTGGTTGGTTGGTTATTTTCATAACCTCCGTCTTGTCTATGTTCACTTGGAGTCCTGTCTTCGCCGGCTGCTTCTTTTACCGGCCAGTTTGTCGGTTTTCGCTTGTAAGTCCTCGATTTTGTGTGACATCAAACATAAATCATCCACACGCAAAATCCAGGTCTTCTAGGTTCTTAGCGTCGGTCCAGGATATTCCTGTCTTCTCGTTTCCCACTGTCTGACGCATAATCCAGTCAAGTCCACCACAATTAGGAATATCATTGGTGATAATGAGCACCCTTGTCTGACTCCTGTGTTTACTCCAAACGCCTGGCTGAGTTTTCCGTTGTGGATCACTTGACATGTGCCTTTGTCGTACAGCTGTTGGATAAGGTTGATGAATATTTGGGGTACGCCGTAGTACTAGGGTAGTTTCTAAATTACTTAACGGTCAACGCTGTCGAAGGCCTTCTCGAAGTCTATAAAGTTGAGGTGGGGGTTTGATTGCCATTCCATGCTTTGTTCTGTGATGACGATGCGTAAAGTCGCAATTTGGTCGGAACATGATTTGCCTTTTCTGAATCCAGCTTGTTCTGGTTGGAATTCTGTATCTAGTGCGTCCTTAATTCTCTCCAGGATGATGCGACTCAATATTTTACTTGGCATCGACAGGAGCATGATTCCTCGCCAGTTCTTGCAGAGTAAGGCGTAAGTCTCCCTTCTTTGGTAATTTCACGAGGTAACCTTTCCTCCAGTCAGTAGGCACCTTTCCCTCCTTCCAGACCTTTTGCAATAATGGAGTCAACATATCTGCTGTCGTTTCTGGGTCCACTTTCAGTGCTTCAGCAGGTATTCCATTTGGTTTAGCTGCTTTTACAGCTTTCAGAAACTTGATTGCGTTCAAGACTTCAGCTTTCGTTGGAGGACTGGTGTGAACTTGCAGTTGTGTACGTGCTGTTGTTGGTATTTCTGGACGGGTTGCAGGTGGTGGTCGGTTCAAGAGTCCTTTGAAGTGATCTGTCTTTCTTCCTTGGTAATTGGGTTTCCTTGGCTGTCTTTTATGGGTTTCACTTGTGTTGATCTCTTCCTGGTTAGAGACTTGGTTATTATATACCGGATGACGTTTTAAACCCAATTGTCTATTGTAACTGTACAACTTCAAAACTTGATTCTTATAGTCCCCTTTTTCACTTCGCATTTGTCGCGTATGTAGTAGAATTTTCCCAATGTCCCGGACAGGTGATGAATTATTCCTATCGCAAATTTCAGTTAGTGCGATAAATAAAGCTTCTGTTATCAGTTTCTCCTTCCGTCCTGTTATATTAGATTTTAAGACTCACCTTATCCCATCCTATTGTATTGTTGTGCGTCTGTGTCTAATTGTTTGTAGTGCTGCAGTGTAACTGAGCTATTTCCCAGATTTCTTATCAACTAATCTACCTTCCTCTAGAATAGTTCGCCCCACTAGTCTAATTGACTGTATCCCTCACTGTTTTGAGACCTGATGCTTTATATATCAAGTCAAATGAGAATACGTACCAAAAAATTATCCAACATCAGTCCTGGACATCTGAAAAATTCTATTATCCGTGGAAAGTGAAAAAGCGAACTATAAGAATCAAGTTTCGAATTTGTGTAGTTACAACTGATATGATTATTAACAGTAGTAAATCACAATGAGTAAATGCATCTGCGCCATTGACAACGATTTTGAGCCATATGACCAATTGTCTCCAGGCTTCATTGGTTTTTACCATCCCAAGAACTCCAACCAGGAAGTCCACACACCCCTACGTGGCTTAAACTAACTGTTGTGGGTTTCACTGACTGATGAGGCCATGTTTTGGTTTGACTACCACTAGCTATTGTCTAACTTGATCTTATGTCGGCTAGCATTGCCCGTCGAGGATAGTAATGGCTAGTTATGCGTAACACATGTCCTAACCATCTCAACCAATGTAACCTCACAAGCTCGTCGATTGGTTTCCCCCTCCTCAACTAGCACTGGACGCCTAACCTCAATATTGCTGACCCTATTATACCACTTCACACGGGAGATAAAACGAAGGCATTTATGACCAAGAACAGCTTCTCTTTGCATGTCTCAGCCATGAAGGAGAACGGAGGGAACTGGTGTGCAGTACATACGCCAGTTGATCAATAGCAAGTCTGATATCACGTCTACACCAGAGATGGCGTAAGTTGAAAAATCCCACATGAGCTTTTTAATCCGTGCAGAGATTGCGTTTGCATCAGTCCATTGTAGCTGATGTAACTTCTCAAATAAGTTAAGTGGTCAGCATGCTCTACCACTTCACTTCCTATCTTTAAGCTAGGAGTCAATGAGATCGTGCAAGGAGGAGATGAGAGAGCCCATTAGCAAACGTGGGATCAGCTTAGGAGGACCGCAGAGAATGGGACAAAATGTGGCGGTGCTGCTGAAGCACTATGCTTTTTACTTGGAACCCAAGTGGGATTTCCAGGATTAGTGATTCCGAATTTAAACTAACATAAGAATTGCCTGATATTTATATATTCTAATTACACATTGTATTTCTTTTTATACTATCATAGGTAATGCAAAAAGATTCAGAGAGGAACGTATCTATCAAGAAACTATGGAAATAAGTCTTTTCGATCCATTTATTTTCTAATGCAAGACCAAACATATATAGTACCACTTTTTTTGCCTTTGTAAAAACGATGTCACTATAATCCCTTTTTCATTCATTCTTTAACCATCTACTGTTAATAGAAAGTTGGACCTAATATTCTCCACTTATTATTATGTCAAATGCGCCTATAAAAATGCTTTATTTTGATGAAGACGATATTTCTTGTGATTAACGGTTGAGAGTAGGCCGATTGTTATGCGATGAACAAGTTCTGTACAACGCAGCTAGCTGTGTGTAAACTGTGTTCCTTTATATGCTCTATTGAAGCATAATGTATTGTACTTTTTTCGGTTTCTGCTGTTTTTAGTACATTATGGACAATATCATTGATTATCTTGTTCTTAAAAGTTGAAAGGGAAACCTCTACAGTACATAAGTAGTTCGAAGTAGAGTCAGTGTGCTGTAGAAAATGAATAAAGGGCGCATAAATCTCTTTACGGTGGCTTCTCTCCGTACGCTTACGTACTCAGTTAGAAACGCACTATAGACCAAGGTGGTTATAGTTTGCGATGTTGAGATAAGAAGAAAGCGAAAATAGAAAGAAACGTTGAGTATCGAACAGGTGACACGTAATTCCTTCCCTACTTCTTATCATTACAAAATATATGGTAAGATCCACACTCGGTGAAATAGTAATGCTATCTATTTTGTCTGTACACTAGCTGGAACTAGTGACAATAATCGGGTCAGCCTTCACACAACTCTCACACTCCCTAAAATATTGTGATTCACTATACCCAGTACAAGTTGTGAGTTCGTTTAAATGTAATCCGGTGTAATAGTAGGACTCCATCGACACTGTTCAAGTTTGATGTGCTTTATCAAAACGTCTGCAGCATTTACCTGCTTGAAGAAGTACGCCAGTCCGTCTACTAACCACCGACAGTTGGACCAAGTTCCCTAGAGGAGGTTCTGTGAGTGAGAACCCTACGTTAGGATTCAGGAACTTTCGTCGACATCGTCAGGGGAGCCACGCGGTCCGCTATTCCACACAAAGCGGTCTAGTCGCATGACACCTAGGAACAGCAACTGTAGACTTGCTCACTAGGTAAAACACAGGATAACGATAAGTCGCTGGCTGAGAACGATTGAGTTGCTGATGTCTTTGAAGGAATTTGCAAGACATCTTCATCTAATAACATCGCAGGCTATTATTATCCAAACCTGCTAGTTCATTTACGTCTGTAATAATACCGTTAGATAAGGTTTAGTGGTGAAAAGTTCGCTAAGAAGACCTTAGTCGTTAAAATCTACAGAAGAAACTTGCATGAGGACTTGACCAACATTGTCTGATATATGCGTGCTATATACTTTCACACAAGAGACAGCTACCTTCACCGGTGTTTGCGTAGTTTTTGCTTTCTTCAGGATGTGTCCTGCTTTAAGCGCTTAGTTCACTCCTGGAAAATTCCACTAGTCTTCAGTTTTATGTCTCACACATACATATGTTATAGTTTAAACCGATGCACACAAAGCGGAAATCCCCACTGTAACACTGCTATCTCGATATCAGCGGACGGGCAGAATAAAAGACGCGTAAAAATATTATCACAATTTAAATGCTATTTTTCATATAAAGACATCATCTTATAAAATAATTACATGCATTAAGTTCATAGACAAAAATAAAGAAGTTCTCAGTTAATGTTTAATTATCCTTGGCAGCTTAGACATCCTTCAGGATTACTGAGACTGCAAGCAATCGCTTCAGTATTGCGTTTCTGTATTTCTTCCATTATTCGAAGTTCTTCCATAGCTTCAACATTTTGATCAATAGAATCACCATTCACATTTGTTTTTGCGGTAGAATCAGTTAGCACATTGAGTTTTGTTTTATCCACACTGAACTTGATGGGATCAGCAGCCGGTCGTGTCCGCAGATAATACATACCCGTCTTTAAACCCTGGAAAGACATGAGAATAAAAGATCAAATTGTTTTCAGAAAAAGATGCAGATAGAAGTCATCGGCAGTACGCATCCACTGGGGTTCGAACCCAGGACCTCCCGGTTACAAGGCAAGCTGGCTCGTATACCATTCAGCCACTGGGACCCGATCCAGTGGCCAGCCCATGAATTCTAACTTCTACCATTTGGTGATTTATCGCGACCCCAACCAATGTCGTAGGTGGGACATCCACCCTCACACGTGACATCTGGATGGACCTCACTGGTCAGGACTTCTCACTAGAACTCCAGGAAACTCCATCCTATAGCAAGTCACTAGCGAGCGTCAGGTTAATTTTCTATAGTTTGGTTTGTAAGGGTTTGTTTTGTTTTCAAGAGTTGATCACGGATTGATATCAGTTGGGGTCGCGCTAAATCACGAATTGGTAGAAGTTACAATTCATGAGCCATTGAATCGGGTCCTAGTGGCTGAATGGTATACGAGCTTGACTTGTAACCGGAAGGTCCTGGGTTCGAACCCTGGTGGTGGGTGCGTACTGCCGATGATTCCCAAACTAGGATGAAACGGCTGTCCAAATAGAAGAAAGCCTATTAACAGCAACAAGCAGTACAAGACAAACAAGCGATGAATTCCCTAAACATAAACGACTCAGACGACATACCTTTCGCCAAGCATAAAAATGCATGCTAGTTATTTTCCCATAATTAGGTTGAGCAAGATGCAAGTTAAGAGATTGACTTTGGTCAATGAAAGGTGCACGGTCAGCTGCCATATCAATAATTTTCTTCTGAGAGATTTCCCAAACAGTCTTATACAAAGGCTTCAACTCTTCAGGGATTCCATCGATATGCTGAATTGAACCTTGATTCAGCAATATAGCTGATTTAAGACTATCTGACCACAAATCTAACTTTGTAAGATCCTCAAGAAGATATGGATTCACAATCTGGAATTCACCGCTTAAAACACGACGAGAAAAGACGTTGCTTGTGAATGGTTCAGTGGATTCATTGTTTCCAAGGATCTGAGAGGTTGATGCAGTCGGCATAGGCGCAAGGAGAAGACTATTCCGTAATCCATATCTGTGATAAAAAGTCAATTAAATTTATAGTTTAACTATTATGTTATGTCAATTTCAGTTGTTTATTGTTACAATACAATACAATGTCATATACATTCGAAACCAATGAATACTGATTGATAAGATAGTTCATCTACTACGAAAATGACAAGCTTCTAGTGAAACATGCAAACTCACTTTTTTGAGAAAGTAACGGAGCAGTGATTTAGAAAACTTGGAGACCGTATGGCCGGATAACTCTTCGCATAGGGGGGGATATAACTCAAAAGCTAAGGGAAAACGATCAGACTGTCAGCGTTGTCCCTGGTAACCACTATAACTCATTTTAAAGTGCAGCTGAAGTCAGATGAACAGATGTTAAAGCATTAGTGTTACTAGTAGTGCGCAAAGCACTGTCTGTCTGTCTGGATTCAACATAGAACTTGGCACCGAAGTGCAGCAGTTCGAGTTGCCACGTTCCAAATAGCACACAGAAGTAGACAAGAAGATGAGTGAAGAGAATCAATAGAGTTTGACAAGTATAAGAGTGAAACAGAATGGGTAATGGTAGAAAGGAATATGAAAGATTACAGAGACTGAATACATCTGCGCTGGCCATTGACAACGATTTTGAGCCATGTCACCTATTGTCTCCAGCCATTGATTCCTAGAGTCCCGAGGCCCCCAACCCGGGAGTCTGCATCTCCCTACCTGACTCAGTTTAACTGTCAAGGATTTCATGGATTGATGAGGCCATGTTTTTGTTTGGCCACCACTGCCGCTTACTCTTTTCCAACCTGAACCTATATCAGCTAGCAAAGCCCGTCGGGGGAGGCGGTGGTTAGGCATGCGCAGCACGTGACCCAGCCATCTCAATCTATGTAATTTTATAGCCTCGTCGATTGATTTTCCCTCTTTGCCCAACACTACGCCTAGCGTCAACATTACTTACCTTATTAAACCACCTAACGTGAGAAGGAGATCGTAGACACCTATGATCAAAAGCAGTTAACCTTTTCATGTCTTCAACGCGTATTGGCCATGTTTCAGAGCCATAGAGAAGGACGGAGCGAACTGCTGAGCAGTACACACGTCCCTCGGTTGATAGCCGGATGTCACGTCTACGCCAGAGATGGTGTAAGTCAGCGAAAGCAGCTCGAGCTTTTTGGATCCGTGCTGAGATTTCGTCGCCAATCAGTCCGTTGGTGCTAATACAACTTCCCAAATAGGTGAAGTGGTCAACATGTTCTGTCACTTCACTCCCTATCACTAAGTTAGGAGTTGACGTGGTCCAGTCCTGTAGCAGCATCTTGCATTTTGTTGGGGCGAATCGCATGTCAAACATACGGAGATTGCTGCTCAAGGTGTTCAGAAGACTCTGCATTTTGTCAGCATCCTCCCCTAACAGGACTGTCATCTGCATATTCTAAGTCCATAAGACTATTCCCTGGTAACAAGTCGATTCCTAAGTCATTACGTTCAGTTAAGGATACTTCCATTAGCATATCTATGATGAAGTTAAACAGAAATGGGGAGAGTGGACATCCCTGTCGGACACCACTGGTTGTTACCAATTCAGATGACAATTCCCCATAAGCGCAAAGCACTAGTTGCATTTGAACTCTTCTAAGAAGTATTTTCGAGGTACAGACCTACGGACCTCTAGAAAAGATTTGATCATTATGTTAGAGTTTCATGAATGGCAACATTGTGATTACAGTTCGGAAAGCTATGCCAATACAAGTTTGGATATAATATAGGAATTAAAACTGATACTGGTGGCGGCCGTCCTTTTTCCCTTTACTTATGTGATATGGAAAATAGTAACCGTTATTACTTATGCCAGTAATAACCCGTCCATTAGATATTGCCTGTCGCGCCGCCTGTGTTTACATATAAAGAGCGATGTCGTCTACTTTCATAACACCGAATTTTGTTTGATACAGCACACTTTGAGATCTCGGGTCCAATTCACGGCTACAGTTGTCGGTTAAGTTAGAAACCAAAAGATAAAAACTCATAAACTTACTTTTTAATTCGTGCTCGTAATCCACTCCAATCTAATCCAGATATTAGAGATAATTTTTCAGTGTCTACACCCCACATATCAGGCTGTAGTAGGCCTTTGCTGACTGGAGAACCTTCATAGGATTCGTATGTTCCTTGTTCAGCTGCCAACTCGCATGAAGCATCAAGAGCTGCAAAGTAGATTGTCTCAAATATTCGTTTGTTAAGGTCTGATGCTTCAGGGCTGTCGAAGGGATACCTCATAAGACAAAATGTATCTGCCAATCCCTGTACCCCAATCCCGATCGGTCGATGACGCATATTTGACCTGCGAGCCTATAAACCAAAAATATGAGACATTTAGCCATCTGATCTAATGGAAATGAGAACTACTATTAAATCAGTAGCTAGAGATATAAAAAGTGCATTTTCTTAGACTAACATACCTCTTCAACAGGATAGAAATTAACATCAATGACTTTATTTAAATTTCGCGTGATAACTTTTGTGACTTCTTGGAGTTTAGTGAAATCAAAAGTACGATTTTGGCGATCAACAAATTTTCCTAGGGAAATAGAGGCTAAATTGCAGACAGCTGTTTCTTCAGGAGACGAATATTCAACGATTTCTGTACACAGGTTGCTGCAGCGAATTGTTCCCAAATGCTGATGGTTAGATTTTCGATTGCATGCATCTTTATACAGCATGAATGGGTTGCCTGTTTCAATCTGACTTTCAATAATAGCATACCTAGAAAAACAATAATATTAAGTGTGACCTCAGTTATCGATCAAAAAAGGACTACAATAATACACTAATGGTGAAATCGACAACCTACAATAACAGAATTCGCACTAACGTACATCTATTTAAAAAGGATAGGTAATACTGAGTACGGTTTCTCAAAATAGAGAGAGGATCAAACTTTCGAGACAGGAAGACGAGTCTACAATCACCAAACTCTTGTTGTGCATTTCATACATAAAAAACTTAACACATATAAGTACATCGATACTACTAAAGACATCACAAATGGTGGAAGTTGCTAAACTAATTTGGCTTATCACTAGTTTGAATTCAGTACGGTAGCTAAGCAGTAGTTCTCCTGAGTACAGTCTCAAATATTTTAAGGTCTCTACTACAATTTTAATGCTAAGTATTTCAGGGTGTAACTTAGTTTCTTACCAGAGCTCTTGTGCCTTGACTGTTTGTCTGCCACGACCTTCTCGTTCATATTGTTCATAAAGAGCTTCGAACTCTTCACCCCATAGTTCTGGCAAACCTGGACATTCATGAGGATCCATCAATGTCCATTTATCGTTAGCTTCAACACGACGCATGAAAATGTCAGGTATCCATAGAGCAAAGAACAAATCTCGAGCTCGAACTTCTTCAGCGCCTGTATTTTTGCGCATTTCTACAAACTGAAATACATCGGGATGCCAAGGTTCCAAATACATAGCAAATGCGCCTGGACGTTTGTTGCCTCCTTGATCAACATAGCGTGCAGTATTGTTAAATACGCGCAACATCGGAACTGTTAAAAGTGAAGAAAGAAAATTTGGATTAGCACTTTTGGATGGTAAAAAAATAGCCAAGATAAAATGATTAAAAGTTTATCAAAAACTAACTTACTTAGACCATTAGATTCACCATTCGTTCCAGCTATATAAGTACCAAGACTGCGAATGTTATGCACGTTCAGACCTATCCCACCAGCATTTTTAGATATGATAGCACATTCTTTTAATGTATCATAAATCCCCTCGATACTATCATCCTTCATTGTAATCAGGAAGCAACTTGAAAGTTGTGGTTTTGGTGTTCCAGCATTGAAAAGCGTCGGAGAAGCATGCGTAAACCATTTTTCTGACATTAGATTGTATGTCTAAATGGTTAGGAATATTAACTGATGATAACTTACCTCAATAGCACTATCGATGTCTGACATATGTATTCCAATAGAAACACGCATAAGCATGTGTTGTGGACGCTCATAAACTTTCCCACCAACTTTCAGAAGATATGATCTCTCCAAAGTCTGTAAAATATTTTCAAGGGTTAAAATTGTATACATGCAAATGGTTTTATTATTTCACAAAAAGTTAACGGTAATCTAGAAACGATACAGGATTCTATAGAATAAACTTATGTCTTATTGGAATTGTGAGTCACTCAGTAAACACATGCGAAGGTGTAGTCGCAAACGTACAATGCAAACGTCTAAACCATTATCAAAGCCAAATCCTTACAACCAATTTTCAGAAAATACATGGTACACTGCCTTCATAACGCACCGTTCTCTTCCTTATTCAGCGTTTCCGTAGTTAGCGAACATCTAGGAAATACAGTTATGAGACGAAAGGTAATCAGTACTTTACAAGTAATGCCTAAGTTTTGTGAAAAAATAAATACAAGAATGTAGCAGGTTTTATTACTTACTTTAAATCCAAAGTAGTTATATGTGTAATCTCGTTCGTAGTCAATAGCATTATCAAATCTGTCAGCATTGGCTCTCACCAGATTGCGCAAAGCTTCTGATACAAAGGTGAATGCTTTTTTGTTCGGGGGTTTACATAGTTATAGAGGTCCTCCACAACATCAGAGAAGCGAGACTTTGTCTCCTTATGGAGATTCGACACGGCTAGACGAGCAGCTAATATAGCGTACTCATGATGTTTGGTTATCATGCTTGCGCAAGTTTCGGCGGCCAGATTATCCAGTTCCACAGTCGTCACACCCGGATACAAACCAGTAACCACACGTTGTGTTACGGCCTCCTAGAGGTGGAAATAGGGGAAAATCGTTAATATTCACAAAAACTGACCACATAGTAATAAAAATACACTTAACACGCATTTTCCTTAAGGGGATACATATACATAAAGGACAGTTATCAAGTGACAATCAAATTAGCCCATTGATTTTCCACTACTTATTCCAATTGTGGGCACGCTTTTCCTTCTTTGTATGTTATGAGCGCATGCAGGTTTGCTTGCACTTAATTTTAACGACATATGATAGCTCAGATGAAGATAGGCATTTGAATTTCTGTTCACCAATTTATTAATACACTCACCACGTCAAGATATGACTCATTCAGGCCATAACACAGTGCACGGATCCGTTTCACGATTTTTTCGCAGTGAATACTTTCATGTCGACCATCTAGAAAATATTGTTTTATAGCTCGAAGTTTTACCTCGTTTAACAACGTGAATCTTGTCGATCCCGCTGAATTCTCTCAACAACTTATGATCACTCGGCATCTTCCAACTGTTGCGCAAGTCACGACTCCAAAGAATCAAAACTCAGTTAGCCGGCAAAGTAATTAGTACAACCAACTGACTGGTACAAACAAACAATATAAACAAAGGATCGGTGTCTTTGCTCATATTGCAGGTACAGAGTTTCTGAAGCATGCAAATTCAGTGTTCCTCTGATTTTGTGTCTATCCCATTTTAATAGAATCTTATTCCAAATGATTGAACAAACCGAAGCGCATAACAAAGACAGCAACTATTCAAAATAGATTCCAGTGTCTTAGTTCTTCTTTGGGGAAAACTGTTCTTAAGTGCATTCATATGAGTACATGTTGATACAGGTCGTGGTAATGGTAATGTATTGACGCCTACCATTTAAATATGGGACATGCAGATGGGTAAAACTGTCTGTGCACATTTGAACTCTAGCACGTCAAATGAGATCTGCCCGGCAATTTACGGTCTGCTGTGTTATTCAGCCGTATATATCAGCTGGTCAACATTTCCACCACTGCTAAGATGCTGAAGACCGAAACTAATGGTATTTCGAGGAAACCTTAACATCTCAACTCTGGCGGCACGTGACGATGCAGTTTGCCTCTAGGTCCGTCACATTCACCAAACTCAACATCATGGTGGTTCAGAAGAGTGGTCCCAATGAGTCTTTATTAACGAAAGTCTACGACGGTTACGCAAGATTGATTACATGTGAATGAAAACGTATATCCTCCAATTCAAACTTGGTTTTTCTGCCTGGACCAAGCAACTGTCTGTCAGTCAAATAAAAACCACAAACTGGGGCTAGCAACCCTACCAGGGAAAATCAACCCACTAGCCACGGGAACTTCAAGGCACGATAAAAATAAAAAGAATATTATTATGATAGCATCGATAGCAGTTAAAGCTCTTACGCAGTGGAAACCAGTTTCATCCAGCATCATGACAGCAAGATTCAACTCAAAACGAGGAGAGGTTACAATGATCTAATGGTATGAACCTACAAGTAAATCGGAACAAGAGGAAAAGGAAGATTTCTCTAATCGACTGCAAATAGTAGTGGATAACATCCAAAATGGCTACAGTAAAATCCCAATGGGCAGCATGAATGATAAATCGGAGGCAGAAAACACGGGGAGAACTCATCACGGATTGCGAGATCCTTGGCTAAATGAGTGAGAACGAAGACCATTCATAGACTTCTGTGCTTTCAACGGTTTGGCTGTCGATGGCATCGTATATAAGCACAGCGATATACACAAGGCGACGTGTATTTCACGTGACGGACAGGCCGAAATCAAGACAGATTTCATTTCGCTATTACTATAGAAGTTGGGGATGCAGTCTGCCGTACACGAAGTCGAAAAGGGAAGATTTTAGCCCGCACCATTATTCGGTGCGGAGAAAATTCTATGCAAGGCCCAAAGCCATCAAAGCAACTGGAGACAGGCCAAAATTCAGCTTCAAAATCCTGAAAGTGGACGACAAAACTACAAAGCATAACTTCCCTACAGATCAGATAGGAGAAAATTAAGGGACACCACGTGTTATCACTGAGGTAACCTGCGCGGGAGAGAATTGGAACTAACTCTCTGAAGATGATATTCAAGGAAACGTGTACAACAATTCTAGGAAGAAATAAGAAGCAAGACAAGGAATGGCTCTCAACGGACACCTACCTGGAAACAATAGAATTGAGTAGAGGAGGATAGTAAAAGAGGAGATAACTCGGCGCAAAGATGGACAACAGAACGAGAAGCTGAGTTCAATGTACAGTGCACTGAATGAAAAAGTCAAGCAGAGTGCCAGGAAAAATGAAAGACAATTCTAGGACACACTGGCTGGCAACCGAAGCAGAACAGGCAGTCTGCAGGTAAAGACAACCTCAGAACGCTACATCAGATAACCAGGTCTCTATCCAGGAAGAGATCAGCCTAGATGATAAAATCATTAAAAGATGTCCACAGGAACCTGACTCCTAAGGAGGAGGAACAAATGAGACAATAGGCTGATCATTTCAAATGACTCATGAATCGGCCATCACCTGCAACTTTTCAAGAAACGCCACCAACTGCATTCACAGAACTGTCAGTGGACACAGATCCTCCTGTAGGGGATCAAAGAATAACATCAACTCAATTGAATCTCAGCCGTTTCAACACCGGTGATCAATTTGTTGTTCACGCGGATTGAAACACGTGGTTGTTAATGCAGTTTTCAAGGAACAAGATTTCGCAGCTTCATTGTGGTGTGGTCATCTACTTGTACGCTCTCTCCAAGTCATCATCAACAAATACATCTTTCAGTAGCGTTAAGTGTTATATTCTCCCTACCCTAGTTGGCCACCAGGTTAGGTGGGCTAAGCTAAAGATTCAGCAGGTAGGTGTACTAGCGCTAGGCCCAGCAGGGTTAAAGCCACTCGTCAATAATGAGCATTACGCCTAATCGAAACCAACTGGAAACCAGTTCAAAATCTTTCAAGAAGCCTAAGTAGTTGGTTTCCTAGACTCCAACAAAAGTGGAAGTCATGAATTCAATCAAGCTAATGAAGAAGGAGAAGCCAGAGGGACCGACCTGAACTCTTCCTGAAGCATTAAAAAGTGTCTAGAAATCCCAGTGGATATGCCACTGCGACTATTTCAAATCATTTGGAGGGAGGGTAAGGCACCCACTGGTCGGGAGAAAAATTACCTTGTCAAACGGCCAAAAGAGAGACTTACTTAGGCTCTTGCAGAAACCAATCCGGTGTCACGCTCATATCCAGGCGAAGTGAAATATTAGGTTATGTGATCCTGGAGGGACCAAAAGATGCACTGAGTTCAGCACTCCTCTTGAAACGAGCTACATTTACGATGAGCATATCAAGTCATATGAATGGGGAGATCAACAGGTGAAAACCGACAGGTTTGCAGAAAGAAGAGTTAAATAAAGGACACAAGACATATTGGGATAATGGAGAAGACGAGGATAACGAAGACAATCAATTAACCAACCACAATAAATACTAATCCTTTTGAGCAGAAGAAATCTGAATTCACTTCCTCCACCTATCCACGTATTATTGCCCCAACTACGGACGGCACAGACGACTATGTCAAAGTCTGTCAGGTTTGGATAAGCAATGCATGTGTTCTTTAGTTTGAAACCGATGTGGGAATCTGCTGCTGCTCACAGTAAGAACAACGTCCGAATTTTTAACTTAAATGTCAAATTAGTCCGTTTTAATGATTAACAGACTTGGCGAGCACGTCACGAAAAGCATCCCCGACAGGCTTCAGACCTTTATTAGTAGCTGCCTCTGTTCCACATTTAAAAACACCTGGCTGGCCAGAGTGTATAGCCAAGAAGGAGCTCTGGAAGTGAACCAACCAAGAACTCATCTTCAAATAAAAATAAGCCAAAGAAAACAGAGATGAGACCGCCAAGTAACATCGTGAGCCAAGCAGGTCCTCAAGTGGAACCCGAATGCGAAACGATGAGTTAAAGGTGAGTCCATATGTAATGTGGAAAGGTCTGAGAAGCTCATGGAAGCTTACGGAGACAACTAAAATGACAACAGAGCTCAAAATGAATGGAGATGTGTCGCTGAAGCCCTATGTTCAGCGAGGAGTCCGGGAGATGTAGAACAATAATAATAACCCATCCGAGTTTGTTGAAGATCGCTTATACCGGCATTACGATGAAAACTAAAGTGAAACAAGTGTTTGCCACAGTTCTTTTTCCCATCAAAACATAATTTACACATCGAACTACTAAAGAAAATGGGACCTCATGGGGAATCGGGTTTCCCGCTGGAAACGACTGTATATAACAGAGGGAAATGAAGGAGCTCTGAAGCCCAGTATCCCACTTGGAACCAAGGGAATAATAATAGTACTAATCAAGCCGTAAACACCAAGTTTTTCTTTTGTTGAATCCACTGACATGGCCGCTGTAAACTATTTCAATAGTTGATTTATCTTCCAGAATGAAGTGTAGTGCATAATCCACAGTGTCTCCCGTCTCATCTCACAGAATACAACTTGCCCTATTTTATTTCAAATTTCTTAGTAAAATGAAATCTTCAGATCCTTCAAAATTCCATCCCGCTCTTGTGTTTTTTCTGGCTTCGCATGTTGAAAGTCTTGCTTTCAGCTAGTGTTCACTACTCATCATGATTTGTATCCCTTAGTAGATCAATCGCCTTTTTGGGTATTACTGGATAAGAGGATCACTCTGCTTCTTTTCTCTCCCTTTCGCGACGAACACGGAACAAGAAACTCATGAAGCACGATGACAAAAGACATATTTCCAATTTTCATGTAGACTAACTCTCTTAGAATTGATAAATAGTCAGGAGATATTCATTGGTGACCCACTTACTGGAAAGTTTTACTGGTGGTATAACAGTCATTATTTAATTTTTCTGCCAGTATCATACTTTGGTAATCAGTATGCTGTAAACAAGGATCCGTATACTACGTAGTGCATAAAGGAACAACTAAATCTCCATGTTGAAGCAGAAAAAGCTGCAGGCGAAGGAGACCTCGTCACACTCTACCAAACGACTAGGTGCCTATGGGGCAAAAGTTCGATATAAATTAAGCCAATGAAGGGTCACAATGGAAAGTCAATCACCAAAGAGGTGGAGCAAAGAAAACACTGGGCTGAACACTTCAAAAGACTTCTAAATCAACCGCCACCTACAACGCGTTCAACAATACCAACAACGGAAGCAGAACTACCAGTGAACACCAACCCCCCGACGAAATCAGAAGTCCTGAATGCAATCAAGGTGCTAAAAGCTGGAAAAGCAGCGGGACCAGATGTAATTCCAGCAGAAGCATTGAAAATGGATCCAGAGACAAAAGCGGACTGGATGACGCCAATAATGGGGAAGGTGTGGAAAGAGGGCAAAGTACCCGAGGATTGGAAGAAAGGATAATTATTCAAACTACCAAAGAAAGGAGATTTAAGTCAACGCATGAACTGGTGCGATATTATGCTCCTGTCCATCCCAAGCAAGATAC